ATTAACCCTGATTCCTCAGGGTTTCTCTTTTAACCTGTTGTTGTTTTCTTTTAAGGTAGGGTTTTTCCTTGAGTGTCTGATAATTTTAGTTTGTAAGTAAGTACAAGGTACTAAAAAGCTGATTGAAAGGTAGGGTTGGTGTGTGGGGCGGGGGGGGGGGCAGGCTTTACGGTAGCGTGATTGGTCAGGGATCCACCATTTGTTTGAGGGCTTGTCCCCAACTGTTTCTCATCCCAGGGAGGAATCCTCTAATCTATTCCTGCTTGGTGTGCAAGCTTGCTGTCAGCATTTTCACAGCTGGGGCAGGGGGTGTGGAGAGATGCATCTGGGGCCCACCAATCCACATGGAGAATTTTTCTTAAGCCCAGTGTTTTAGTGTAGCACTCAAGAGTTGAGCTGTTGAATCTCCACGGTCTTGGAATTCAGCCTTTCCAGGGGAAAAGCTCTGCTTCCAGGATGAAGGAGGGAATGCTTCCTGGTTTGGGAAGGGGTTCTATGGGTCTTACTCTCCCTTCAATAGATTTCCAACCCATGGTCCTGCGTTCAGCCCTGCCGCGCCCCTGCCTTCGGAGGTGTCTGCTGTCTGGGAGACTGAGCCCTTCCTCCCCCGACACCCAGCCCTAACCTTTTCTGCTGTGTTTCATCCATGCTCCTCGGCAGTCTGTTTCCACTTTCAGAAGTTTGGTTTCTTGCCTGTGGTTGTCTTCTTTTCCCACTGGTCTCTCTTAAATCCCTTTACTGCATCTTTAATGGTGTTTTGAAAGGGAGTGAGGGCAAATGAGTGTTCATCTGCTGTCTTTAATGGAAAGTGCCCAAAGAGTCTCTAACGAGCGATTGAGGGGGAAAGAAGAAAACCTCTGTAGTTATAAATTTTTCTGGTTTTATAGCATTTGAGGTTCAGCTGTTTGTGAAAAGCAATTTAAATAAAAGGATCATGTTGGAGAGCAGTGGTTTATATTCACTTCATGATATTTCAACTCTTAGTAAAAGGGGAGATCAGAGACAGGTGAGTATGAATAAAAGATTTGCTGCATGTATAGCCAAGGCCTGTGGATTTGGTGTTGGAAGTTTCCACTGCCCTGGCCTTTTCTAGGATTGCCTTTTTAATCTAGATTTCCTAGTTTGATAAGTGTTGAATGGTGATTCAGTACATGGGCTTCAAACCTGCACAGACCACAAAACCATTTGAATTCCTGCTTTGCCATGTGTGGGCCATGAGCAAATTGTTCCACTGATTTGAGCCTCAGCTTCCTGACCTAAAAATGGGGGAAATAGTGCTTCTCTCCCAAAGTTATTAGGATTGAATGAATTAATGTATGTAAGTGCTTAGCCTTGTGTGGTCACTGAATACAGTTGTATTTACTTTGTTACGTTCTAGGTCTCCTTTTGTCTCCAGCCTTTGTTACGTTCTAAGTCTCCTTTTGTCTCCAGCCTCACAGGTCGCTATGCCAGGCACTGTGCCAAGTGTGGGAACCTGAGAGACCTGCCCTCTGCTTTCAGGATGTTCCCCTTAGAGCTGAACTCTCCCTCATTCATTGTTTAGCTCTGGGATGTACTGAGGTCCGAACTGGAGAGGGAGGGAGACCGTATTTGAACCTAGGTCTGCCCAGGTCTAGAGGCTCTGCCCTTTTTTTTTTTAATTAATTTTTATTGGAGCATAATTGTATACAACATTGTGTAGTTACAATGTTGTGTTAGTTTCTGCTGTATGTACAGCAAAGTGAATCAGTTATGCATACACATATATCCACTCTTTCTTAGATTCTTTTCCCATATGGGTCATTACAGAGTACTGAGTAGAGTTCCCTGTGCTATACTGTAGGTTCTTATCAGTTGTCTATTTTATGTATAGTAGTGTGTATATGTCAATCTCAAACTCCCAATTTATCCCTCGCCCCCTTACCTCTTGGTAACCATAAGTTTGTTTTCTACATCTGTGACTCTATTTCTGTTTTGTAAGTAAGTTCATTTGTACCATTTTTTAGATTCCACATATAAGCAATATCATGATATTTGTCTTTTTCTGTCTGACTTACTTCACTCAGTATGACAATCTCTAGGTCCATCCATGTGGACCATGTAATGCATGGCATCCATGGCATCCATGTAATGCAAATGGCATTCGTTTCTTCTTTTTTATGACTGAGTAATATTCCATTGGGTGTATGTACCACATCTTCTTTATCCACTCTAGAGGCTCTGCTCTTAACACTGTCTCCTTAGTGTTGAGTATTTCTTACAGTGAGGGGTTGGCCTCTGAGTAGAACACAGTTACAGACAAACAGATGGGCACAGATGCTTTCTGAAGGCTCTGGGTGATGTTGAGGTTCACATTCTAACCATTCCTAACAACAGCTGTACATCCATGTGAAATAGCCCACATTTGAAGGGAGTGCTTATTATTAGAGAACATCTTTGAAGGATGTGTGGCGTAGGTAGATTGGCTGGAAGTAGATCTGTTTAGATTGGTTATTACTATACCCTGAGGAGTTAAGGTGAACAGAATCTTAGAGGTGCTTCGTGAGTGGTGCATGGCTGCTGGTTGGGGCAATGTGAATCATTGGACGATGATAATAAAAGGCTTTAGCTCCCTTGAGTTCTTTAAATGGAGGGGAGCAGATGATAAGAAAAAGGTGCGCTTGGTCTCGTTTACCGTAGGGAGTAGGTTGGGAACCAAGAGTGTGGAACGGTTCTTGTATTTGTCCATTTCTGCCTGCCCTGTTCAGGCTCTTCTTCCAAGTTGCTGTCTCCTTCACAGCAAATAAATACCTTTGTTTCCCCTCGCCCCCCAGTCTTTCCCTTCGTGCATATTTATATATGGATGTGTGTGTATTTTTGATGAAATCTGAATTGTATTTTGTGTACTGTTGTATAGCTTACATTTTCCACTTAATTTTCCTTCTCTCCACCCCACTCCCCAAACCATTCCACTTTAACCTTTAAAAGCATTCCCTTTCTGACAGGGTTAAATCAATTATGAAGACAGCCATATGGTTAAATACTACATTAACCGTTTTAGAACCATGATTTCTAAAGTCTGAAATAATACCCCTATCTGTCAAGCTCTATAAGCTTCTTTGATAATGCAGCCTATTTTAAGATGTGGTACATTATAACTGGCTGGGAATTATTAGAGTTTTTTATAGTAGTGTAGATGCTTTTGCAGTAAACCTTTAGGTGGCAGCACTTTCACCGTAAACCACATCCTGAATAGAATTTCTCAGATGCATAACATGTTTGACACAGAAGGATGCTCAGAATCCACCTGACTTACCCCTTCAGTGTGTAGTGGTGGAGCTGAGGACCTGGGAGGGGCAGGGCTGTGGCTCAGGGTTGAGCAGGAGGGAGATCTGTGAACCACTGTCTGGCACTCTTCCTCCACCCTTTCTCTTACTGATGTGAAATGTTGCCTGTCTCTGTGGCATTGTTAAAAGCACACTTTAAGTATAAGACAACCAAGGAAAATAAGAGTCAAGTGGATGATTCTGGACCAAAATGTCATGGGATGTTTGAAAGGACCAGACAGAATAGGCAGTCTTTTTTTTTTTTTTTTTTTAAGCAGCTTTATTTAGATATGATTCACGTACCATACAGTTCACTCATTTGAAGTGTACACTACAGCAGTTTTTAGTATATTCACAAGTTTTTGCAACCATCACCACAACCTAATTTTAGACCATTTTTATCACCGCAGACCCCCCTTAGCCATCATCACCCCACAAGCCCGCACATCCTCCAGTCCCTGGCAACCATTCATACTTTGTTTCCATAAATTTGCCTATTCTGGGCATTCCATATGAATGGAGTCATATAACATGTGGTCTTTGGGGACTGGCTCCTTTTACTTAATTTTTTACTTTATTTTTTTTTTTTGGCTGCAACGTGTGGCATGTGGGATCTCAGTTCCCTCCTGACCAGGGATCGAACCCGTGTCCCCTGCATTGGAAGCACGGAGTCTTAGCTACTGGAGCACCAGGGAAGTCCCTGGCTTCTTTTACTTATCAAAATATTTTCAGGCTTTGTCCATGTTGTAGCATGAATAAATACTTCATTTCTTTTTATTGCCCAGTAATGTTACGTGAATATATCACATTTTGTTATATGAATATATCACATTTTGTTGTCAGTTGATGGACGTTTGGCTATTATGAATAATGCTGCTACAAGCATTCATGTACAGATTTTTGTCTGAACATACATTTACATAGAAGTGGATTTGTTGGGCCGTATGATAACTCTATATGTGTAAACTTTTGGGGAACCACCCAGCTGTTTTCCAAAGTGGCTGCGTGTGTGCATTGCCACCAGCAACGTGTGAGGGTTCCATTCGTTCTAATTCAAAATTCCAGATTTTCTGATGATAGGTTGGGGATGAAGGGGATGTGAGAGAGATGATTCTCAGGCTCTCTTGTGTCCCCGAATCGTATGCCGGACTGCCTGTTCTGCCTTTCCGAAGGTAGCTGTGTCAGCTACCAAGAAACCAGCCGGCTTCCCTGCCCCACACAATTGCTTTGTGTCACCAGGCTGATAAAATGCCTGCGGTCTGTGGCCACGCAGAGCATGTTGATGTTATAGCCTGGCTGTTTGTAATCCTTGCCTCCTGACTTTGGAGATACCAGCAACCTGATCGTCTTGGTCCCAGTTAGAGAAAAATTCCAAATAAAAAACCCTTCGCCATGAGCCATCCAGGTCTGGACATGTCAAAATCACTTTCGTGACGTACACCAAAGCCAGCTGTAGAGACTGCACAGCAAAAGAGCAGCTTTTGTTTTTGTCAGAGTTTATATTCTCCAAGCTGAGCTTACAGCCCTTTCTTTGGCAGCCCAGACTGGACGTTCTTACATCTGTACTGAAATGACTGTGTGTGTGTTCAAGGGAGGGGAAGGGGCCGGCTTTTCCTTTAGGCCTATCTGGGTCCTGGTGAGGACACACACTGTACATTCTGAAGCTTTATTTGCAGCTGGAAAAAATTAGCCACACTCAGATCTTTCTCACTGCAGGTCCCGTCAGGAAGCCCAAGTATGTGGAAAGCCCCAGAGTGCCTGGAGATACAGTCATAATCCCGTTCCGAGACGTGCCCAAGCCAACAGAGCCCAGTGAAAATGGTAAGAATATGTTTTCAATGATTTTCCCCCTTAAAGATTTTACACCATGACACTCCACTTCTGAATGAAAACTTGAGTGCCTCTTGCAGGAA